CTCTACCAAAAATGCCCCTACTCTCACATATACCTTGACCATTTTACCCCTGAATTTTTCAAATTCTCCAGAATACCCTCAATTTTCAACTTACAAATAGAGGGAGGGGAGGACCCGTGGGACCATTGGGCAAAGAATACCTCCCTTGCAAGGCCCTACATCCTTCAATTTAGACATCATTCCTTGCCCCCCAATTTTCCCTTTTTTTTTTCTTCTTCTTTAATTTGAGTTTGAGGGGGGTATTAGCTGTAATAGCATCCACCATGGATGACTGCTGAAACCACTATCGCCTTCCCCTGTCTCTCCCCTCTTTCTCCTTACTCGCACATCCTCTAAAGTAGGATTTGGAGCTCAGAGGAGATGGAAAAGGGGAGAGGGGGGGTCCTGAGAACCACCAGTCTATTGAGCCCAAAATCGAAGCCAAAATGGAGGATGTCTGTAGGAAAGCAATCCATGATGGAATGGATGAATGGATTTTCAGCTATGGGTTTCTCTCTGTCTGTCTCCTCAACACGAACCTCATTGTCTATAATCCATTGGTGCTTGTTGCATCATAACATCAATAAATATAAATGTGTTATTATATTATATAAAATAAAAATTCATACTATTGTAAGGAGAATAATTATTTTGGTTTTGGTCTAAGTCATAAAAGTTAATTTTGATTCCATAATCTCAATCTATATCTTTCCTCTTATACACTTGCATAGCACATGCCCTTTATACTCGGGCCCCGTTCGTGTCTTGGTAAGTCATTTATTTGGATAATTGCACTTATTTAGACATGTGTTTTCTAAGAAATGCTTACCTAGATAAGTGCATTTATCAGTGTTTTTATTTTAGGTAAAATTGTATAATAACTATTTTATCCAAAAATGTAACATTATTGAAGAAATATATTATTTCATCACGTATTAGCAATTTTTTCACACAAATAGATAAATAATTTACCAAGTCTCAAGAGGGTATTACATTCCAAGATAAATGAGTGGCCCATAAATCATTCTTTTCTATTGAACCCATTAATACCAAAGTACTAATGTAAATTTATTTCTTTTCCATGATACCCACCAACTTACCCACCCCACTTTCGCAAAAACAAACGAGATCTAATAGTTTAAAACCAAATAATATTGAATTTCAATCATTATCAAAATGCCTAATCAGCATATTGTCCAACCAAATAAGTTTCATGTCAAAATTGATCTGTTGGCGTTTTGATCATGAAATACAGCACTGTCATGAACATTTCATCCATCAACCACAACCTTGATATGGATGTTGACAAGCATCAATTGCCTCCTACTGGCGTATAAAGCAGGCTTAATACAGATTTCTGATTCCCACTACAAAACTATAAGCATTTAGAACGTCAAAAAATCATATTCTATGCACATCAATTCCGAATTGACACCTATCCTAAATGTACTTTAAACCTACAAATTCTGATCCTGAGATTATTGGCTATTTTTCCTTTTTTTTAATAAAAAAGATTGTAGACGTTGCAATGACCCTTCCCAAACCTAAAATCTTTAGGTTTGGGAAGTCCTAAAATCTTTAATAAAAAAGATTGTACCGTCTTGAATTTTTCAGAAAGTCCAAAAGCAGAAATGGACCCGGACCCGGGCTCCACCCAAGTAAGTTGCTGCTTAGTCTCTTTATCCACCGTGATAATTAAGAAACAATAACTTCGTCAAGCAATGCTAACATGCTAACATGAACATTATCTCTTTATTTTACACGTGTCTAAATCAATGCCTGATTACTAAGATACCTCGAAATGGTTGTGAACAAAATAGTTCCGCACCAAGTATCCAAATAACAAGGGTAATCAAATCCTCGTTTTTTACTTTTCGCCAAAATATCTACATTAAATTTTCTTAAATTATCCTTATAGTTTAATTATTTGACTAATCCTACATATTGTTTTAAACTATTTTTTAATTTTTTGGGTAAAATATAAAAATCTCCCCTAAAGTTTCTGACAATCATAAAAACCTCCTTATAGTTTTATTTTAACCCTTTAAACTTCTGAGAAACTCAACAAAAATCTCCGTTTTGTTACTGTCTACAGAAAATGTTAGATTGATGCACCAGTTTTTTTCAAATACCCATTTTACCCTTTTATAAATTATTTTACATATAAAGTTACTGAGATAACCCCATTTTAACTCAACGAAAACCTCTTTTGATGATCATTTCAATAATTTTACATACAAAATTACTAAAATATGTTTTTTTGTTGAACTAAAAAGAAATTATTTTAATAATTTTGTATGTAAAATAATTTATAAAAGAGTGAAATGGATATTTGGAAAAAACCGATGCATTAATCTAATATTTTCCATTTGGGACAATAACGRTTTTTATTGAATTTCTCAAAAGTTCAGAGGAGGTATTCGTCAAAATAAAACGGTTTCTATGATTGTCAGAAACTTCAGCGAGGTTTTTTTTTTTATTTTATCCTAAGTTTTTATGAAAAGATTAAAAAGTCTAATTTACCCATTATTTTTCTTTAAATTTTCAACCCTACGTTTACTATGTTCAACAACATCAACTTGATGTAGCCGCCGCTGGTCTCCGCTGGAAGGAAATACGGTCTCTGTTGGATTAACCTTAGATTGCTGTGAAAGCCTTCTTTCCACCACCACCAGAAGATTCTACTGGAATGACCTTTAACACATTGAACCTCACAATCTTGGACAACGGTCTGCACTGTCTAATGATTACATGGTCACCTTCCTTCACACAGAAACATGCAGATATATGGGCAGGAATATTGGAATGCCTCTTCTAATCTTTGGTATATCTTCACATAGTGAAGGTAGTTGCGGCAAACAATGTGGCAGGTGCTGATGGAAACATCCCCAATGAAGAGGCATTTTTTATCGATACAAGTTCCTGCTTCTCTCGGCGTCTTGAACCCCTATCATCTGAGATGGAGATTAAATCACTGGAATCTAAAAATTCTATCATCAAGCAGGTGGCTCTGATGGTATCGACTACCGGTGATGCATGCCCGTTCGATTGCAGAGAAGAGGAAAGAGAAAGCCCTGTTAGGTTTGTTCGATTGTAGAGAAGACGAAAAAGAACAGAGAGAAAGAGAGAGCCTAGCAAAGTTGGGGTGCGGAAGCATGTTCCCCACCTCGCCTCGTCGCCGCCAAACCCTCCCTCCCTCACCTCGCCTCGCCTACCTCATCTCTGATTCAGTCGGTGATGAGGTACTACGGTGAGATGAAGATTTAGCAGATCGAAGAAACCTGCTTTCCACAATCCCTGCATCAAGAGAAAAAAGAAAACTTGAACATTGCGATTGGAGAGAGAAATCGCAAAGGGAATAGAAATTAAAAGGGAAGAAAAAATAAAAAGAGGATTATTTAAAGTCAAAGGGAAATGAAAAGCACCGTATGCGAGACGCCGAGACTCCCAACGGCCGGTTCTCTTGTAAAATGTAACACCACGATATTGTGAGCTTCTAGACCTTAGCCCTCGTCAGCTCTTCTTCATGGACCGGGAAACTTCCGTGGGTCTACCAGCAGCAAGAGGTTTTGACCGACAGAACTTGACACGAACCCGGTGAGTGTTGGGAAATGGGTGAAGCTTGAAGGAGAAGTTTTGATGCATCAATATGCATCGTGGTTATTAATGACTTTAGCAGTAGTTAAAAGTTAATGACTGTTAAATTTGAATGGTGCCCGTTGATCACACCTGATCGAATCGTGACCATTGATTACATCAATGGTCAGCCTCACATCAAAAACCAAAGCCACCCTTTGCGAGTAAAGTGCGCCTCTAAARTGCCTCATTGCATCACACACACGTGTACGAACGTTGTGTAGTAGCAAGCCTCCATATTCTCCTCTTTATATCTAAGGAGTGTAAATTAGCTCCTATTAAAAAAACCCAAAACAATTCTTGTAATTTTCTAATGTGGGACAAGTTAAAAACTAGTTTAGTAAGAGAAAAAACTTTTTGTAAAGACATGTGCGCATGTGTATTTTTTCATGTAATTGACCAATCAAACCCCATTAGATTTAATCTCTAATGAGATTAAAATCCAACAATAAGCTCATGACAAGTGAGATGTAACAACAATAGGGGTCGCCCCAATTTCCAACTCCTCGACTAGAAAAAACTGCTAGGTCACTACAAGTTCGTTCTCCAAAGAATAGTTGTCATCGTGGGTCACTGAGAAGCCAAATATCTTACTACTCCTTTTTTGTCTTCCACCGTGCTCGTCATCATCATCCAATCCCTCTTCCATAACCATAGTCGAGGAGCTCAAATTCTCATTGGAAACGGATCCGATGCATTTTCCCTTGTCGTCGTCTCCATCGAAGGACGTCTTCTGCGAAGAGCAAGGGGATCTAATGCCTATTCGAAAGTTTTGAAATCTTCAACCTACGGTCGATCTTGCCACAAAGGTGCCAATGCTTGAAGGGGTCGATGTAGACAACGATGCTAGTGCCAAATATAACCAACTTCGAGCCAATTTCCTCTCCCTTTTGAGCTGGTACCAATGGCTAGCTCAATCAAAATGAAAAGGGCATTTTCGACATAAAAGGGTAAATTTAGTGTTTTTAAAAGTTATAACAATCATGTAACGGCACATTTAAACGGTTTATGACATAACCTTAACAATAAGGGGAGTATTAGTCAATTATCAAAAATAATAAAGATAATGTTAGATAATTTTCAAACAATAAAGGTATACTTGGTCAATTTAATAAACTATAACGATAATTTAAGAAATTTACCCTTCTAATTTGACATATTTGTTTTTAAATCATCTGAATAGGCCAGTTTATTTAAGCATATATTTTCTAGATAAAACTTGTTCCGATAAATTTGGTTTTGGTCTCTTTGCTTACCTTGGAATTTTTAATGTTCTACGATGATGTATCTGTGAGATGGGCATGCGGGGCGCTATGTTAAGAGAATATTCCGACTCGCTAAATAAGTAAATAGTAAATATTGACAAACAACAGGACTTCCAACCATAAAAGAATAAGATTAAGGCAAAACTGTTCATACAATAAAGACTATGAGGTAAAATTGTCCTTACAAATTACAAAAGACTCTAGTCTCTTGGGGAAACCCGTACTCTATACCATCAAATATCGAAATAATCGTCCAATCATTAAGGAAAAAAAAAAAGAAAAAATATAAATCTCTTTGCTTCTCCTATAAAAAGTTGATCGAGTACTATTTCACAGAAAGAAGTATCGACGCCAGGATCAAACCAACGGTGATCAGAGCCCTGGTTCTCCCACCAACAGTCCCACTGCCGTTTAAATCCGCTCCAGTGGGGGCCAATCCCATAAAACCCGGGGATCCGGTAAAGGTTGAGTTCATCACGGTAGAGCTGCAGCACCGCAACAAGCTCAGCAGGTGAGAAGGTGGAAAATGAACAAAAAAAAAAAGAAAAAAACGAAAAAATTTCAATCAGACGGACCTCGCCGGAAATACGCAGCTCCCTTTACCTGCAATGTCAAATGATCAAGTGTAAATAAGATCTCAAGATGGATTGGAGAGCAATTTCACAGATCAGAGATGAGCAGAATTTCATCGATCTAATATAGAGCACCCTAATTTCAGAAAAGAAGAGGAGATTTCATTACTTGGATCGAGAGTGACGATGGCGGCACTATTGCCGAAATTGCAGGTAGTGTTGGACAAGCCGTTCTTGAGGGCGTAATCGTTGAAGGCGTAGGAGGCCATAGACTGGATATCCTGGGGATTGTAACAGGGACCGCCTTGCTGTAGAGCCCTGCAATCGGCGCCTCCTGCTCCGCAAGCCCAATCCAGCGCCGTCTGCAAAGTCGAATCTTCGGCGTTGTTCTTAGCTGCGCACCAGAACTTGGTACCGTCAGAGCCACCGCTGTCGGCCTTCGATTCGAGATTGGGGTTCGAAGGCGATGCGAACGAGGGGCACTGAGATGGAGTGGTAATGAGGATGAGGGAGACGAGAAGAGAAGCACGAAATCGAAAGGTCGCAGCCATTGAAAGGGATCTTGTAGCCAGCCAAAGAGTGTGAACTGTAAAGGAATAGAGGCGTTTGACAAGGTTTTCTTCGATTTTTTTATGAAGAGAGAGAGCGCTCTCGGAGGGTCTCGAAGAGGGAGCTTAGTATGTGACCGTTGGAGGTAGAGAACAGATCGGGACGCTTTTGATTCTGGGAGAGAACCAGAAGCAAATGGACAACAGAGCAAGAAACAGCAACCAGTGTGCCTACTGCCTACTGTACTGGTGCTGGGGACTGGGGACAGGGGCCTTCGTCGTTTTTTCCGATTGTTATGAGAATTTTTTAACTTTATTGTGGTATTTTGGTCATTTTGAAGCTAGGAATTTCCCTGCAATTTGCCAATTTGGCTTTCGGTGTTTTTGTGTAGAATACAACCTATGATATTAACTACGGAAGTGAACGATGGGCCCATGTAATAAAATACTGAACCATCTTCGAAGATGGGCTGCATTTTTTTGGAAGGGCGTTATCCTTGATATCTTGTCAGAAAAAGCGGCGTACGTTCCAAACAAGGTCTAAATGGCTAAGACGAGAGTTTGTAGATCCCAGCAGAGATGGGGCCTAGTAGTCTAGATTCATGAGTTATATAGCCAATCCAGTGAGAGAATGGGATCGCCGTTACCACTCTCCGTCTTCTACAATGTTCTAAGACTCGGCCCGGACTGAATGGTCGGACCGTGAAAACTAAGAGTCATGGTTAAATGATGGTTTTGGTGGGTTAGATGGATAAATCCTAAATCGCCCATTTAACCAATGAAATCGGATCCAAAGAACATTCCGGATTTTATCCATTTTCTTGTATGTATACGTTGACAGTTGAGGCATCTGAGAATTTTACCTTTTTCACCAACCGACGATTCCTGATAGAAATTTTCTCTCTTGGAATTTCTCTGGCTATCAGCACCTCCTAAGCTTAAGCCTTAAATGTTCTTCTTTTATTTCTATTTTTTCTTTGGTTTGTTTTATTACCGTATCAGACTTCAAGTCAATAAAAATGAAGATAGAGGAAAAAGAAACCGGTGATGTCCTGTTTAGGTTGGACCAATTAAAACATGAACCAACCAAAAAGTTTGAGGAAKAACCGGTTTGATCAACTTATCAATTTGGTGGTTTGGGTTGAGATTAGGATTATTCGTTCAATAATCATTTAGGTAGGGGTGTCAATGGACTGGTTTGGATTAGACACGTTAAAATTAAAATTAATTTGGATGAATTGGACAGACCAATATGACATATTGAATTGGACCAGTCCAAACTTAATGATCCAAAGTATTTACTCGGTTGGATTGGACCTGGGTTGGATTGAACCGATATATGGTCTATTGGTAGAATATCAAATTTATCAATGGACCATGTTTGAATTGGAAGCAATCTAAATTAAAACCAATTTGAACAGATTCAACAGTTCATACATTAAATTGGGCCGATTCAAAATGGTCGAAAATATTGATCGAATTAGATTAGACCTGCTCCATCTAGTTAGTAATGTTAGTCCACTGCAAAACTAAATAAAGCAACAGAATTTAATTAAACTGAAGTCGATATGTGAATGGAAATAAAGGAACGAGACTAGGCCAGCCAAGCTAATGCAGCCCAATCCTACTATCCGGTTAGAATTTTCTTACAACAAAAGATTAGGTCAGGACCGTTGGATAATTACGAGTTATTAGTGTGCTTCCCTTTTTACCCTTCTGTCAGAAATTTTCGATTTCCAATAGAGAACCGGGCAATACGAGCTAAGACCGGTATATATTTTATTCATCCAACCCATTCTCCTGATCCGAATTTGGATCAGTGAAGAATTCATTCACAAATGAGTTCCAGCTCAGATATACTGTGCATCTTATATATGCATTTGTTCTCTGTTTCTGTCATGTGTATCCAAGCTAGAATTCATCGCATTCTACCCATTTCATATTTCGGCGGGAAATCCTGAATCAGGATGTTGACCCGGGGTTTTTTGTACCCATAGGTTGTGCTTTTGTAAGAGAGAAATCTAGTGATTTTTATTTCTATTATATAGTACACATTACAGGAAATTCTGGGGGTGGGGATAGAGTCAGTTGCACATGAGGTAAGTTGACCATATAACAGAAAACCTGCAGTTTAGTGGGTTTGACCCTATGATTGGCCCAAGTTAGCATTTTACATTGCATTGGGCTTGGGCCTCTAGGTCGGATTCATTCAAAAGACTAACCCGCGAGCTTATCCAATTTGGGCAGCCCAAGTTGCACCTTTCCTTTTTGTGGCACAATGATTCTCATCTCAAGTAATTTCAAAATGGTTGTTCACCAATAAGAATGATTAACCACCACCTCAAGGAAAAAAAAAACAATTTGATTTCGCACAATTAGCACTTGTTTTTTGCTTTAAAAATGCAAAACTATAAAATTGGCAAAAAGCACTATAAGTTTCATTAAATATGATTTTTATTTGAGGGCTTTAAGGGGTATTTTCTAAATTTTAATATGGAAAGTTTCGTCATTTTAAAACAAAAATCAGGGCCCATTTTGTTCACAGGAATAGGGGTTTAGAATTGAAATCAGAGTGGGCTCATTCTGATTCCAATTATTTGGTTGGACAGAATCGGAATTCCATTCCCATTCCCATTCCTGGTAGAATGGCATTCCCCAATTTGAGGGAACGGCCACTCCCTCCCCCTCCCTTGGGAATGAAATTTCATTCCAGCTGATTTCAATTCCTATTTTGATTCCTGTTTGAACCAAACAGACTGTGGGAATAGATCATTCCAATTCTGATTCCGATGGATTTTGATTCTGATTCCGACCATGAACCAAACGGACCCTCATTGTTTTTGCTGATGTGGCAACAAAAAAAAGGCCTCACAACTTTTTATTTGTTTATACAATTAAGGCTATGTTTGGGAGTGCTTAAAAATAAGTGCTTATTTGGGCGGGGACCACACCATTAAGAACTTATTAGTGTTTGGGAAATAAGCCTGAAATAAGTGCTTATTTTAAAAATAAGGACTTATTTTTTAAGTCCAAATTTCCAGCTTTTTTTAAATGCTCATACAATAGGCACTTATTCAATTTTTTTCTCCCATAATTGTCCCTAGTGAATTTTTAGAAAACCAATTATAACATTTTACTAAAACAATTTTACAAAAGTAATTTTACGAAAGCACTTTTATGGAAGTAAAACAATTTTACAAAAGTAATTTTACTTTTGCAAAAGTAAAATATTTTTACGAAAGCACTTTTATAAAAGTACTTTTACAAAAGCACTTTTGTAAAAGTATTTTTACATGAAAGCACTTTTACAAAAGTACTTTTATGAAATCACTCTTACAAGAGCATTTTTATGAAAGTACTTTTATAAAAGCATTTGTACGAAAGTACTTTTATGGAAGCACTTTTACGAAAACACTTTATAAAAGCACTTTTATGGAAGTGATTTTATAAAAGCACTTTTTACAAAATCACTTTTATAAAAGTATTTTATAGAAGTGATTTTATTAAAGTGCTTTTATGAAAGCACTTTTGTAAAAGTATTTTTATAAAAGCACTTATATCAAAGTACTTTTAATCATTTACTTTGGATTGGATATTTTAAAAATTTGAAAGAAAATGAAGGACAAAAGAGTCATAATTGCTTATTTAAGTACTTATTGGAGAAAAATACCACCAAACACCCAATATAAAATAAGTACTTATTTTTTAAAATAAGCACTTGAAAAAGTTGGGTGCCAAATGCAAATAAGTGCTTATTCGAATAAGCACTTGTTTTTAAGCACTTATTCAATAAACACTTACTTTTAATACAAGCACTCCTGGCCTAACAACAATTAAGATGAAAACATTTGGCACAATACCAGCGAAGTAATTTATCATAAGTGGAAATTTTGGAAAATATAATCAGAAAACAAATAAAAATTTGTAAGGTTGCCTGAGTAAAGTAAAGATTTCTCAAGAGAAAAAAAAATGAAAAACCCTAAGATCCATTAACAAGTATTATCGTTCTATTTTCTTATTACTTTTCTTTTTCTGTACTTCAAGTATATTAGTTCTACCAAAAAAATTAAAAAACCCAAATGAGGGAAGAGGAAGAACTCCCTTTTATTTGTCATTATATGTATTTTCATATCACCGGCAAAGGATTTGGTATTGGAGGTTTAGTAATTTCTATTATTCCCTAAAAAAACACCTTTTAGGACGAATTAGGACCAGCTACCATGTTCTCTTCCATAATTTTGTCTGATAAAAACACTAGAAAAAGGTTCCACTTTACGGTTGTTAAATGCTTACAGGTCATAAGCTTGTAAAAAAACCTATGGAATTGTTGTTGAAAGAAGAATCAATAATTGGATCCAATTGAGTCCACTTAAAATTGGCTTTGAGACCTTTATCTATTGTGGCCATGTTTGGAATCAATGCCGTTTTTCAAGAGGTGTTTTGTTGAAAAACCGTTGAAACACTTTTGTTAGACTGTTGGTGCCAATATAAACAATTTTCAGTGCCATAAACAATAAAGCAACCAAAATGCACACAAATTACACAAAAGATTCAATTGTTATGCAATTGAAATGGCAAGCACAATCACGTTTATGTGGATGGGACCTTATGCTTAACATTTATATTTTCTTAGTTCCACTCAACTATCTACCTCTACTTAAAGAATAACTTAATCTTTTGGAAGAGTGACAGAAAATTATATCAAAATGTTGAAAAATCATAATAATRTTTACTAGAATGCCATTGGCAATACCCCCATACAAAAAGAGTACAATAGCCCACCCAAGACTAGGAATGGCAACGAGGTTGGACAGGAACAGGGAGTTACTTTCCATTCTCGTTCTCGTGAAAATCCCCATCCCCGTCCCCGTCCCCATCCTTGCCAGCGGGGACAAGGTTATCCTCATCCCCATCCCCATCCCCGTGGGGATCACCACTCCCTATGATTTTTTATATTGCCAACCATTTTATTTTTGTTTTTTATTTTATTTAAAAATTTAAAAATAAAATAGTTAAAATTTACAATCCTATTAAAAAGATTCAAATATATTCAAACATATATTTAAAAATACTAATATACATATATATGCACACACACACACACACACACATACATACATACATATATAGACGTATTAGTGGGGATCCCCACGAGGYAGGGATTGGGGTCCCTGCGGGGTGAGGAGTGCTCTTTCCGTCCCCACCAATGGAGATGAAAATTTCACCATCCCCGTCCCCATAGGGGGAAATCATCCCCACCCCTACCCCATTCAAGGCGGGCCCCTTTGGGGATCGGGGAAATGGGAAAATTGCCATCCCTACCCAAGGCACATATATTGACATACTAGTGGCACTCCAACAAGCTTCACTTGTGGCAATCTCCTTGCCTAATTCCATCTATGTCCTTGGAGATTGCTACTT